CGTTACTTTCTGACAAGCGAAAACATCTCATAAAGCTTAAACTGGATTATTTTTTATGTCGGCAAGTTAAGAATATATTCTGTACGTATTTATAATATATTCAATCCTAATAGTGCATTCGTAGTCGTAAATGAAAAGGGTGGAAAACACGTTTTAATATTAAAAGTAGGAGAAACATAACTTGAAGCTTATCGTCGTCTTTAGAAAGTGCTTCAATCGTAAGCGAATAGCGTTGATGCACTTTGGTGCAGTGGACCGCGCGCACGTGTCATTATACATTCCTCTTTGCTCATGCCAAAGGTGGATGTACGAGAAATAGCGATGCGTGGAACGGAAAAAACAAAACTGAGAACCGCACACGTACTGAAGATAGGATGTGCAAAAGCGTATTTATATATATATATATATATATGTGCTGGCTGCGCGCATATTTATCTAACGTACGCGTTCGTATTTCGTTACTACGGAGATTTCGGAGCACGAGGCACGGAATTGCCAGTTTAATACCGATTCTGCGTGCAAATACACACTCGGGGATGTGTCGACGGTGGTTTGCTGTTTGCGAATTAGGTGCAATCAAATGCAAAATCACACTGGCAAATATTACACGATTTACCAATCACAGATTCCTACAATTAATTGCTCGACGCGATACGTTATTAGCAAAGATTGTTTCACTGTGTTGAGAAAATTTGCAGAAACCCTTGAAGATATCATAATTATACACATCTCGAGATTGAATTTTATCATATCTCCGTTACTTCGTAATAAAGACATTTTTGTTAAGATTATTCATTGATATCGCTGCTGTATTTAATGAATTATTATATTTCATACGCGATGCACAAAAATATAAGCAAACAGATAAAAAATTAATAAATATACGGTTTATACTCATACTTGTCTTTTAGATAAATATCTCTTTACTTATACTTTAATTGAACTTTTCTTGTAATAAAAAATATGTTGAACATAAAATATGTTGCAACATTGATATAACTTTTTAATTTTCAATATTAAAAGTTTATAATTAAGTTTCAAATTAAATTATTTGCTCAATTAAATGATTAGATCAAAAATTAATCAAAAAGTGAAGTTTTTGAAATCTCTTTGTAAGATATTTATTTAATTGAAGTAGTTATTAAGATATTGAATTTCTATATAAATAATCTTTTATTAGATAGTATAGTTTTAGTAATAAAAATGATTTTAGAAGTCTCATTAAAAAGACTCATTAAGAAGTCAATTACAGTTAATGTAGTAGAAACTATAGCGCGTATTAATCAAAGCAGTGGTAGTAAAAGAAAAAAGTTACAGCTGTGTGTGTAAGTCGTTTCCAGTGTGAATAAAATACAGCCCGTGCGTCAATCATGCGCCGTCAGCCATCATCCCAAAATAGGAAATGTACGATAATTGTTCCGCTCGTTCGAGTTATGTACTTAACAAATCAAATTGCTTCTTCGGTGAATTGACGTTCAGCCTTTAAGGAGCACTTATTTCAGCTATTAATTTAATCACTCCTTTATCGAATTACTCGTTGCGTATATCGGGAGTTACGATGAAGTATCACATTATACTTGTACAATTAATATAGACTATGAATAAAAGTGATATAATAACCGGTTAAATACACGTAATGTCGCTCGTTAAACATAATCGTGATAAATATGATCACGGAAAAGCCTGTAGAGTTATCAGATAATTTGTTTATATTATCATTTGTTTATATTATTTTTTTTTGCAAAAACACAATACAAAAGATATTTCTCATATCCTGACTTTAAATTTTAAATGATAGCACGCCGTAAACACATTCATCTAAAATAGCAACGACAGTATAGGCCAGATGAATAACATGACACTACATGAATAGTAAACATGATACGACTTAAAAAGATACTTTGAAAAAAGTATTGTTATTTGCAAGTAAGTATAGTTTTGCGAGTAATTTATACCGTTTTATTAATCAAAACAGTTCGCATATAATGAAATTTGAATAGCATGGTTATTGTGTGAAGACATACAAATAACAAATTTAATTTTACAGTAGAGCCAGAACATTTTTTTTGCTTTTCTGATTGTTTAAACTCTCAGTCCTTTTAATAATTTTGTTTCATCCATTAATCCTCTGTAATGTACAGTTACAAGAACAAAATATTATTAACACATAAATAATAATTTTCATGATAAGGAAATAAAATAGAAACTAATTCTCTCTCTCTCTCTCTCTCTCTCTCTCTCTTACATATTAATACAATTAATAAATCTTACATTTATTAGTATAATTAAAGTTTATATATATATAAAATATATACATATATACAAGGTGTAACTGAAATAACGCCCACTAATTATATAGTGCTATTCCTAATAAAAAACTGAGACGAGAAAAGTCCGGTACCATTTTTTTTGCAATTTTTGCAATATTTTTTTTTATTACCCAATGAGCAAAATGTCTAAAATTGACATATAAGACAGCTTTAAGATATCTTTGAGAGTTCTCTAAGAAAAATCTTCAAAATATTTCACAAAGAACACAGAAAGATATCTCAAAATTGTCTTATATATCGATTTTATCCGTTTATTTGGCAATATTTAGAAATTAATATCTCGTTAACCATTCCAAAAATTGTAAAATGGTACAGGACATTTCGACTTAGTTTTTTTTTTTATTAAGAATAGCACTATATATAGAGAATTTTTTCTTAGAATTTACCCCGAAAATATAATAGTCATGGGACAATATTGTATTTCGAAGAATTTTAATGTAAATCTCTCTCATTCATTAATAAAACCACAATAAAGTATAAAATAAGTTTGATTAATTTTATTGAAGTGCATGGTAAAAATTTTTTAAATGTCGTATTGTACCACAACTACCACATTTTCAGGGTAAATTTTAAAAGAAAATTCTCTCCATGTATGATTAGTGAACATTATTTCAATTACACTCTGTATATTTTTGTAAAATAGTATATTTTAAGTGAGGCAAATGATATTTTTAATCATTTAAATTAAGTTTTACCAAATAAATCAGGTTATAACACTTTCAAAGATATATAAATTTAATTAAATGTCGGACAATCTATCTAAAAACGTATTAAAAATAGATAGCAAATAGTCGAGAGCGTTCAAAGATGTTGGATAATACATATTCACGCAAATAGCACTCGAAAAACCGTGCTAATTTACAAAATGCATGAAATATATTCGGAACCAGACTGTCTGTTCTATTCGTGCGAGATAAAAAATTCCATGTCGGCGCGTCATGCATGAATTAGGACTGTAACAATTGTAAAAATTGTAAGTCACGATTTCTAGCACGCGCGGCTTTCACCGATACCTCTTTGCAAGAGGCATTCCGGCGTATGTAACTCACGTGACGACTAGATTAAGCGAGCGAGTGTTTATTACAGCCTTATCGAGGTGCATATCGAAGTGACGCGACTCGAGAACGCGGATTAAAAACCATCAAATCTCTCCTTTCAATCGGGTGTCGAGCGGGATTCGCAACTAATGCGGGACTAATTCGGGCGGTAAGAGGCGGGCAATTACGAACGGGTGAAGTCAAGTGGATTTACGGAGCCTTCGGTCGACGGCGTGATAATTCGACGTTAAGTCATTAGCCCCGCACGATTACAGCGCAGGGCGCGTTATAATGGCGCCGGCGTATTTCACTGGCACCTAATCCCGCTGGCGTACCACGTGCCGACGCGTGGCGGTGTCACGCCGTGTCCGGAAATCTCGCGATTACCTCCCTTTCTGCCGTTTGTCTCGGCATCGCGAGACGTACGAATAATCGCGCTTGGGGCGTGAATAAACGGAACGATCACCGGGGCAAGATCTACGAAGGTGTCCCGTCCGACGGGCTAAAGAACCCATTTCCCAGCCGACTGGCCGAGAAAGAGAGAGTAATTATTATCACGCGAAAGGATAAGGCGGAGTTTGCTGGACTAACTTCCGCTGTGATAATTTATACTTGCCACGATTCGCTATAGGACGATTGCAGCGGGTGGTTGGCGCGGCCAACAGAAAGGAAATGGAAAAGAAGAAGGACCGACGTGTACGCTAAAAAAAAAAACAAAACAGATAGTGAGATGGCACAACGCCGAACTTATGAGTTCCCATTTACATGAAATTTTGCGTTTATCGTTTACGACAAATACTAGCTGGTTAAGAGATGACCGTCCGAGATTTCAATCGATGTGAGGAAAACTTTAGAAATCGGGAGACTTTTCGTTCCATCAGTAATGTTGATTTGAAAGATCAATGCCAATAACAATGAAGAAAATTGAGCGAGAAGCCTCGACTGTTTGTGGTTCTGGGCTCATCGCAGAGAATTTTACGATCGGACAGCGTATCCCACAATCACGATCAACGGAATAACGTAAATTCGCTTTGCGATACCCTATTATGATCGTACCCGCGGGATCGGAGCAGAGCTCCTGGCGACGAAGCGACGCGACGCGACGCTACTCGAAGCGATGCGGTGGGATAGGTGACTCGATCGTGGCCAATCTCGTTCGCTTAAATTACGACCGGCTCGTAATCACCTACTGACTTTTATCATCCACGTAATAAACAAACCGCGATCGTAAAAGCCAACCGTAAAATTCTCTCGAAGGAAAGACCCTCGAAGGAAAAAAAGAGAGAGAGGAACAGAAAAGGAGAAAAAGAGCGCGCGGTTAAATACGCAGACCTCGTGCAGAAAAGTCGTAAAAACGATGCAATGAGTCACCCTTTTTTTCCCCCTCTCTTACGACGATCTCAATCATAAGAACTCTTCGATCGCGAACGATGGTCAACCGCGACGGTTTTTGTGTCTTAGTGAAGGGGGGTCGCAAATTACGATCGCAGCAGCAATCGGGGGCTAAGATGGAATTCATGGGGAGGGGAATGTATGTTGCATAATTGCATAAAGTGCGTAACGCTGTTCGGATCGTGCAGAGCGGTGCGGGAAAGTTGTGCGTCTGCCGGGGTTGCTCGGTGAATTATTTTACCTGATGACGGATCGTTCAGCGCGGATACCCATGTCGCGACGCAGAACACCGGGATCGCGAGAACGGGGAGCATGTTGCTACGTCGACGACGCGGCTACGTCAACTGAGGAGTAAAACGCCGGGCGCCGCGACGCTTACCGCCGCGACGCGGTTCCGCTTTGCCGCCAACCACGCGGGCGCCTGCGTGCTGCATCGTGCCGTGCGTCCGCGACTTACGCGGCTCGTCGTCCGGGCTACGACGAGACGCGAAGATATCTCTGTTTACCATCGAGCACGATTCAAAGCGAGAGCGCGACGAAGCGCAAACGCGATGCAATTGCGTTTTACGCATACACTTGTTCGGCGAAGGGGAGAATTGTACGTGCAGTCATATACGCGGGATCCATCGAAATGCAAGAAGCACGATCTCGTTATTACTTTCTTCAAGAACTTTGAAAGATATTGAGACTTTCTCAAATCGGAAACATCTACTTACCTTTTTCTAAGATATATATGCATGTTGAGAATATTTTTATTATCGTAACCTATAATAATTTTGAAAAGAATTTGCTCACGTATTTCAAAGCGATACAGTTGAGCCTCTTATTTTCAGAAGACGAACTAATTGAACTCATAAAATAAAAGATAGAAATATTTCGTATGATCATAAATATATTCTATATCAGTTGACTCTTACGAGACTGTTTCACGGAAAAAATTTAAACGGTCTTTTTAAATAAAATATCTATTTAAATACTTAATATCAATTCAAACTAAATATAGCTAGAGTTAAAATTTTACTTGTTCTTTTTATCGTTTTCCTTATAAATTAGGAATTAATAAATTATCTTTTCTTACAAAATAGAGTTTTTAACTATTAATAAATTAATTAAGACTGTTAATGCATTTGTGATTAATACCAAATTTATTTTTTCCTAATTTGTATAAAGACATACGCAAGAAACAAAACTTGTCTAATTGTAAATCTACTCTGATTAACGAGGACGCCTGTCGAAAAAGCCGAGAAAAGCGAGTTTGCAGGTAATTACTTTCGCAATAATTACATTGCCTTGTAATCATTCTAATGATCTTATTTCGTTCTGCATCTGCTTTTTATTTAGCACGGATGAATTTTAAAACATTTTGATATATTCATTCCACGACGGATTTCAATTATCGCTTTCAATACATTTATTAAATTTTAATTAATTAGGAACCTTCGGGTACATTTGTACATTTTCCACAGTTATGAAGTATTACTGTTCTTACCGAATGTACGTATATCCCCTACTTTTAATTATCAATATCGTTGACAGTTATTGGAAAACCGACAAATAAGCTATTTCTGTTAGCCTAGTGATAGCGACGACTTCTAACTTCAAACATTCGATAAACAGACTGTTTGAAATAAGTCTATCATTTAGGAGAGAATGAGAGAACTCTCTGTGAATACCTAAGGGAAAAGGTAACTAAGGCCGATGATAATTATTTATCAAATGGTAGAAGCCTTCATTCAAAGGGTATTTCAGTTATCTAACTTTAAATAATTAATATATATATTTCATTTTTATCACCAATATGAACGTTAATTTCAAACAAAAAAACATTTTTACTGTTCAGAATTATATATACCGTCGCCACGCGAGGCAATGCCGAATCGGTTTTATTTTTTGTTTCAAATTACAGTTTATATTAATAATACATATAGATGTTAATTATCGTAATTTAAAGTCAAATATTCTTTGCATAAAGACTCTTATAATTGATAAATAATCAGTTTTATTTAACTTTTCGCTTAGGTATTTGTAATTCCTCCATTCTTCTCTACATAAACTTATCAAAAACATGTAATGGTATTTACCTAAATAGCATGTGCGTTCTGTATTCACATGTTATGGTACAACACTAAGCGTATATCAGACTGTCACTGAATGTGAAAAATAAGAGGTTATCACTACTTTAATATACTGCAATAATATCGTTTGCGTGTGCATTGTTTGCAATTCCTCGGATCTCTCCTACGTGTAGTGTTATCTACGGTGAATTAAGAAATCGTTATAAAACTCTGACTGTACTATCAAAAAGACTACAAAGCAACGATTGATGAAGTACAAAGCAGTTTATCGACGCATTGTTACGGAAAACAATCATTTGTTTTCGCTGCTTCTCGTAACTTTCTATGCTTCGATGCATCAGCGAATTGTATTCACTTTATCACCCGTAGCGTGATACATACGCAATATTGCTTTTTTTTTCATGTCCATATAGTTTTTTGTCACCATTTTTGCCGGGTCGGTTCACGATGCACGCTCATGCAGCAAAAATCTCCTCGCGAAGTTCCCATGCGTTCGATCGTGGCAGAAAATTTTTGTTTTTGCATGATTGCATGTAGCTGCAAGTTCCGATACACGCGATGGTGTTTTATCTACGCGAGAAATGGATCAACAAGCGCTAAATAGTAAATAAACATCGAAAACGAGCAGGACACCTTGCGGCATGGAGAGCGTAGCCCTCCCTGCAATCCCTATCAACGATTTATCCCTCGAAGAATCGCGATGGAAGTGGCTCGCGTGATAATTCATGCTCGCCGCGGATACTATTTCGAGCACGCGTGCCACTTGATTCCCGTAGGTATACGGATCTGGCGGGAGCGCGCCGAGAAACTCTTTCTTCTGTTTCTCTCGAACGTGGCTTGAGAAAATATTTCATTCGTGAGTCTAACAAGATTGAAATTTTCAATTTGATGTTGCGCGAGTACTCGACGGGAATTTCATCCATAACGTAATTTGCGCGCAGTAATTTTCGCATGGAAAAAGTCGTTTTATGGACGCGCGTAGGACGAAAGAATAATTAATGTGCATACATAGAGATATATATATATATATATAATAAAGTATATATGTATGTATATACTTTGCTTGTAACGTCATCATTTAAAATATTTAGCTGTTTATATTAAGTATCTTCGATATCCGGGATATCGAAGATTTTTTTTAAATAAATATTTATAAGCTGTGTTACGAATAGCTATGTGTCGATTTTGTATCAAAAATGATCAGGAGCTAGTCAATTCTTCTGACAAAGACATGCGATGTAAGAACGTGCGATCGAGTCACTTTGCGTGTCAGTGATTTCATTGTAAAAGCAACTTTACCTTCATGATCTTGGCACCGCGTGCCACGACTCGTGAGACACGCCATACCATCATTAATGCTCCATAATGCATTATTTTATTCGCATGATCGCGTACACGCGTTGACTCGTCACTTCGGAACGAATAACCAGTATAATCTGAAGTTTACGAAAGTACTTTGTGAAAATATCCTTCCCCATTATTTACATTCCCCATTGTTGAGATCGTATTTGCTTTACTTTATAACGCGTCATGTCTGAAATATTACAATTTGACTATATTACAGTTTGATATCACGTTCCGCAAACTGTCATTAAATGAGAAATATCGCTACATTCCGAATGAGAGTGTTAAAAATCTACGTCATAAATCATCTAAATTGCAATAATTTAAATAATCTGCGGCCTAATTATATTTTCCCTGACAGCGGAATACATGTGTTCAATCATTTGAGTGTTATCGGAACGGTGAAGTTTGATCTTCCATTCGAGCCCCTATCCGTTCCTCTTTCCGATTATTCCGGAAAACCAGGTTGCAATGAGTGTGACCGAACTCATTCGGGCGCAATTGTCGCGTGCACCCTTGTACTAGGTACTCCATCGCGGCTACATGCCGGGCGAGCGGCAGATGGAAGCGGATATATTTGCGCCAATCGTCGAGGCAGCAACGATCGATGCGGAACGGCCGAGGATCGATTTCAATTTAGCGACCGTTTAACCGTGCACGCTCGTGGCTAACGAGCTTTCGAAAGTCGTAGATATCCGACAAGTTGGCCTACGGGGCCAGTCTCGCCGCGGCTCACAACCACCCGCCAGAAACTTACCGCAGTCAGGCGGCGTAAGTACCCGCGAGCATACATGTAACATGACACCGTTAACTCCCTTAACACCGTACTTGCACCGTACAGATATTACACAGGCTCATGGACACGCGCGCGGTTTCACCCGGCAGACGTTTATGTGGCGCCTGGGATCGTAGTGGTAGGCATTGTTAACGTCTGAAAAGGATAAGAACGGCGCGAGCGATGGAGGCCGGCTGACGGACTGTTTTACTGCTTTTCCAGCGCGCTGCAATGGAGGAGTCGATGGGGATGGCGTGTGGTTCCCATTGTGGAGATTAGAGAGACCGGCATATGCACCTGAGGAACGGATTTACGTTCGGCAGCTAAATTACACATTACGCCGCTTTCTTTCTGCGAATCGCTTTCGTGCAAGAGAAAGTTTCTTTTTTTCGTTAATATTTCTTGAAGGATCGATGTCACTGTAATAGAATGTAAGCACAGAAGCGGATCGAATATTGCGTCGCTTTCAATCGTTTGTATGAGAACTGTTTTAAAAATACATGAAAATATTGAATTCTGAATTGATTAATCGGACTGTCCGTTATAATGAAATAAGAGTACAGTTCGCACGATGAAAAGTGACAATGTGTGAAATTTTTATTGCTTCTGAACAAAATTATGATCTTCGTTTGTTATATATGGCATTAAATTACAGTTAATGAGTTAGTCTCGAATACATTTAATTAATTATTGTGGTTTTCTGGACCATAAAGACATCTAAAATATATTTGCAGAAGATTGTCAAAGACTTTCTTATAACACAGAGGTTTTGTAGTAACGTCTTTAATTAATTCCTTCCAGTTAAAGAAAATTTTCACAAACAGTCTACAAAGGATTGCAACAATGGGATCTCCGTTTCTCTCTCTTTCGAGACATTCTAATAAGCACGTTTTCATTATAATATTTGTACGACATAAAAGATTGGGTTCAATAAATAATGTACACCCCTGTTAGAAAACCATTTTATTTATTTACGTATATATAACATCTCTTTTCAGATAGTATAGAACAATTTAAAAATATCGTTGTACAGGCACGCGTTTTTGGACGCTGCAGTATGCGCGAGCAAAGCTGCAGTTTCGAGATTTTACAAATCAGATTTTACAATCACATCCCTGTTATAATC